TGCTGTTTAATTGAGCAGCTTTGGTGCGTGCGTGTGTGTGTGTGTGTGTGTGTGTGTGTGTGTGTGTGTGTGTGTGTGTGTGTGTGTGTGTGTGTGTGTGTGTGTGTGTGTGTGCGCGTGTGCGTGTGCATGTGTGTGAATCATTGACAATGAGACAGGAAACGAAATGGGAAAATTCAGAATTAATCCTGTACACTACTTCTTTTTAATCTGTTTTCTAATTGTTCGTTTCATTTAAAATAAAAGTAGAAATAGGCATGTTGTAGGTACTGCTTTTTTTCCAACTCCTTCCTCCTTGTTCGAAAGTTAAACATCTAATATATTTCACAGGCTCCTAACTTTCACACCAGGCTTCCAGTATGCACCTTCCCGAACCAAATGTTAGTATTTGTACACCGTCCTCTGAAATATAAAGATGCAGTCTCTCCTCCAACATTGGTGTCAACACATTTGTGTGTATGGCAAGGTCAATAGTTGTCATGACATCCACCTCGTTCCCAGAAGATGGATCCTCTTGATTTTGGAGTTCCTGTGACCTTTCTGTAGTGTGGGATTACACTTTGGATGGATTGCTGTGAAATTGGATGTTTCACTTTGCCGTATGTCCGCCAAGCATTAGCGTCACCCTCACCCGCACTTTTTTGAAGACATCCAATCGTAGCCGAACATTTTCGGGAGGGGCGTGGCTAAGGGGATAGACCCGTCGTCGTCATGAATAACCTCACAAAGTATTTTTAAATCACAGGCTAAATTATCATTGGAAAATGGATACATTGTTTGTAATCTTTATTGTAATTCAACAACTCTACATCCTGTTCTAAAAGCATTGACACGCATTTATTGTTATTTTCTCACTTGGCTTGCGGAGCAATTAGTATTTGGCCATGGTCCAACTCCCCCTCTGTATCCCGGTGCTGTCATCCAAATCCATCCTCTCTGCTATCTTCCAATTTCCTCCAGCAATTTGCATTATGGAGAAGGGGAACAGGAGGGGTCTAAAATCAGCAGATCAATAGGCCATCAAACAGTCTTTAAGTGTGACACGTACGCAGAGCTCCTGTGTCAGGTTTCCGTCTCTAACTAATAGCCTTGTTGTTTACTTTACAATATGCTGTGTCATGTAGTTTTGTTCTCGGGTTGCCCTCTGGTCTATCGGGTCACGTCTGGGAATCCTTCCATGGGGCTTTTGCTCTTGTCTGATGAGGAGCACATGCACCAAATCGGTGATTTGAGATATATCTTTCTTTTTAGTTTGCAGGATATATCTTATCCACTTTAAATAGAAGACATTCCACATACTTTCAGTACATTTATGAGAATGAAATTGTGTCACCCACAAGGTACAGTGAAACCTGTAAATTGGAATGCCACAGAAGTCATCCAATATCAAATGTGACCACCATTTTCTAGAAAAATCTGCTTCCCGCGTCATAAAAAAAACTCCAGGATTCATACTGCCCTCATGCGAGTGTATTTGGTGAGACTTAAGAAAATCTTGTGAAAGTACATCCAAGGCATGCATTTCAAAAGTGAATTTGGTTTTTCTTTGGCATTTTCAACAATGACACCAATTTGCTGACACAAATTGGACGTGCTGTGAGTTATTGGCTTGTATGAATGTCAACGTGGTAGCAGTGACTGCAAAAAGCAACTGGTTACTGATAACCATAGAAATGAATATTTAGCGTTCTGTCCTAGTCATATGTCTTTAATTTTTATGTGGAGTGGAGTTTAATGGAGTGCTGCTGAGAGGGTTGTCCTTGATTGTTATGATTTTGTTTTTGTTTGGATAATACTTGGTTTTGTTCCCTCATGTGCCTTTATTGTCTTCACCTGTTCTCGTCATCCGGGTCCCTCGTGTTAACCAATCAGGTCCCTCAACCCGTTGTCTCTGGTCCAGGTGTTTCTTGTTGTCTCGTCACTTTGCTTGTATTTAGTTCCCTGGGTTCTGTCAGTCTTTGTTGGGTCACTGTGTATTGCTGTCATGTTGTTTTTTTGTTTCTGCCATGGCTTTTTGTCTGTTTGTTTTTTAGAATTTTTTTTGTTGTGGATTTAGTTTTACCAATGTGTGGTTCATACATTTTGTTCAGTCCACCCTGCGTCTCCCTCCTGCCTGCTTTTTGGGTCCGCTACCATCATGCAACACGATACTGATAATTATCCAATTTCACTCTATAATAACATGCAAGCAATAAAAACTGGGGGTGAATAAGTAACTCAACCTTTTGCCCATCCGTGTCATTTTGAAAAATATCAGATCAAATTTAAATGTGATTTTGTGCAGAAATGTGAGAAAAGCTCCAAATACTTTTTCAGTATTTTACATGACGGGTCATGTAAAATATGTACCTTGGCTCTCAAAGGTTGGAAAAAGCTGTCCTATACAACAACTTGAGAGTCGACCGTGTGTCTGAACGTGGTTCTTGATTTTGGCAACTTATTTTTTTACACTTCAACACTGCAATGTTTTGTTTTCCATTACCCCTCGTTCAATCGGTAAAATGTAAATATAAAAATGAAGTTCAACTTGCATCCTGGAAGAGACTCTGTTTGACATCAGAGAGGAAGCCAAGTGTTTTCACTGCAGCATGTCCACCATGTTTGTCCAGTGCGTTGCAACAAGACTTGCCATTGTTGTGGTATGTGGTAAAGGTTAGGCTCGGCTTGGTTTGGTTTGACCAATGTAGGATTGTTTTGCGAATATGATTGTCTTTCAGACATATGTTCAGGGGACAGTCTCTCCATTCGTCTTAGGTGACGATCTTTGTCAGATGACTAAAAGAGGTCAACAGAGGTTAAAGAAACGGCCGAGCTGAGAGAAGGGGCCCCCATCTAGTCATGCAGAAAGAGGCTGCCAGAAACTTTTACACAGACATATTGTGCACGCTCACACACAAACACAAATGCACGCACACAATTGGTCACTCTTGGATACACTCTGCAACCATTAGGAGCAGCACTTCCTTGCCTTTGAGGAGCCAGACCTCAGCTTTACGGAGGCGCAGACCCGTGGAGAAATACAAACGTGATCGGACTATTTCCAACACAAACACACACTCATCAAATGGTTCTGACTGAGCTACCCCTCCCTTTTATACTTTTTTTTTTTCTCTTGCTCATACAGTACATATTGTAAAATTAGGGCTCTGAGCGCACTTATGAAAACAAACTGGGATTAAAAGGAGGTAGTGACCAAATATTGAAAAAAATGTGCTTGTATAATATAAAACGTTTTTGCATTTGCTGGAATTATTTTTACCTGCCATTTAGTAGAACATAGGCATTAAAACATGCAGTAAATGATCACAATGTATACTTTAATGGTCACCCCAATATTATAATGTAGAGGTAATATTTTCCAATTTTTTTCTGCCATCTTGCTGTCTGAGTGGATAGCCTCAAAGGACTGTGGGAAGTGAGCATTGCAGCACTTAAACTGGAGACAGCCTGCCGGACATAACCGACCTCCTTTTTTCCACTTAACACACACTCTCAGACATTGCACACACACATTGGTCGTTTTTTTCTGTCTTGATTCGTGTTATTGTAGCTTTGTTTACCTCAACACCTTCATGATTATGTCCATATCAATGTTGTGTTATGTTTTGGTCGAACAGTCATAAATTTCCCCTGTACTCCAATAATGTATAGATGCAGTTGAAAAAAAAAAAAAGATTGATTTACACACCATACTCTATGTGATTGCTCTCTTGATGTTTCCTCATTGTATAAATAGGATGATTTGACCATTAATATTGCTTGCATGCTTATTGCCCATCTATTGCATATTCAATAGAATAGAATGGAGCTATCCTACGTGACACATGTGGAGTGTAAGTGTTTTGGCAAAGTACACTGGAGGTCAAAGGACTGCACTGATGGGATTGACTGACTTCCAAGTCAAGACAGGAGGTATTTGGGCAATAAGCAACATTAAACAGTACTTCAATGTTTTTTTTTTTTTTTTTTTTACTTCAGATACAGTATGTTGCTGTAATGTCGTTTTTTAAATGTTTACTTTATTTTCTTACTGTGTAGTTTGCATCCTAGAATTTACTGTTTGCATATTATCCTTACAGTGAAAAATGCAAAACCTTGTTGGCTCAAGCAATGGTTATTTAATCAGAGCGGATGATGTTCTAAAGATACTGCTTCAATATTTCAGCTCAATGTAGTTTTCCTACAGAATGGCCTCTCGTTAGAGTCAAGGGTCAGCTCCTCCCGTGTCACATAGGCTATTTATATTATGTTCGGTTTGGGGCAGTATGTCGGTGAAGATTACTTGGATGATTGAAGATGGTACACTACCAAAGGGAGCAGGTATAAGAGAGGGGTTATCCGTGTGCTTATAATATATAATATGATTATATTATTATTATATATTATAATTATTGTTTGGCAAGATGCTTCATTTGATGCATAAAATTGTGCATATTAACAAAACAGCGAGCAGTGTTTTTCAATATGGATTAGCAAAGAATTAATTATTATTATTATTATTATTATACATGCAGTTGTACCACTTTTGATAATGAAGTTTTTTTTACCCACTCATTCCCTTCAAATATAGATTCATAATTACTTTGGTCGTTTTCTTTTTCTTGAAAAATATATGGGGGGAAAAAATTTGTATTTTACACCTAAGGGTTAATTGATGGAAGTTGGTGTTATGAGCCATTATTTAAGTAGAACTACTTGACGGGTTTTGTAATTATATTATTTCTTTAGCCATGTCAATGTTTTCTTATTTGCAGAATGCCAGAATCATAAGTGTGCATACAGTGCTGTTTTAAGAATTAGAGAAGAAAATCTATTTCGCAATTTTTGGGGGGAGATCTTGAGTGTTTTGTTGAAATATTGGATTTGTCGCACAAGTCTTTATGGGTCTTACTTCATGTAAAATCTGAAATATAATTTATATAGTAAACACAGTCAACACTTGGTAGAGCTGAGCCGAAGAGAACCACCTGAAATTACTGAATCAGCTGTAAAAGTTTTCTTGAATAAAGAGGTTTTAATTACAGTTGCAGTAAATGCTGTAATGAGCCTAAAGGCAAATGTAAGAATAACGTAAGTGTAAGATACTTAAGGACAAAAAATAGACATGCGTGAATAAAATGTTAATGACATTCATTTAAATACATATAATTTCTGTAATCCAAAAGTCCTTATGATATTATAAATGCATGCATGGTATATTAATTTCTTTGGTGGCATAGGCTGTTGTTGAGAATAATAATGATAATAACAATAACAATGAGAAAGGGCTATCATGTAAACAAGAAGATGTTACAGATGTAGGCCATGCACAGCCAGGCAGGCTATTCATCTGCTAGGCCTGCTACATGTTCTCTTTTCAGGTGTTAAGTGCATGTTAGGCCTACACAAAAGCCAGGCTAAGAAATAAATAATACCAAAAACAGCTCATTTGAATGTGATATGTTCCTACTACTTGCAGCCTTCTTTTAAACACTGATGGGCCAGTGTCCGGCCTTTTGAATTGGATAGGCTTAACGCCATAAATGCTCCAGTTGGCACAAACAAAAGTGTCTGTTTACACATGCAGGCTTGGTGGCAGTGTCATACGTCCCCGTCATAGAGGCTGAAGTACTTGCTGGTGTTGGAGAAACAGAGGTAAGGCGTATTCGAACCCGGGTACACGACGGGCAATGGCATGGGCATCAGGCACCTCCCCAGCAAGCTGCTCTCCTTGTATAAGGCGGGGAGCTGACCCACCACCACGGGCTTCACCGTCTCCGGGAAGTCGCTCACCGGTCCGTCGATTTCACTCGAGATTTGCCGTTTCAACTTATTCCTGCGGTTCTGGAACCATATCTTCACCTGCGTTTCGGTGAGCTGCAGAGAGCTGGCGAGACAGGCGCGCTCGGCGCTGCTCAGGTAGCGCTTCATGTCGAACGTAGACTCCAACTGGAAGATCTGTCTCTTGGAAAAAATGGTGCGCGTTTTCTTTTTCGTGATCATTTTACTCTTCTTCGTGGGACTGTCCGCTTTAAGAATCTCCGTGGTCGTGGTGGTGGAGCTGCAGTCGTCGCAACTACTGTCCCCGCTCTCGAAGCGCGTCTCCGAAGCCCGACCGTGAATGTCGATGGCCGAGTCGCTGGCCCGGTTATTCTCTTGGGTAAAGTCTGTAACAAACAACAAATGCCCCAACATCCGCTCAGACTGTGTCACTCGCCGGCGCGTATAATAGGCGATGCGTTGTGGTGATGTGAATCAAATAGTCCCCATACAAGCCCTTACCCCTCTCGTCCGATTCGTGCCTGCGCTGAGCTGCGGGCCCCTCCAGGTTGCTCTGCAGGATGCGGCCTTGACACGTCGTCGTAGCCGAGACATCGCGCTCTCTTTGGGGGTGACAGCTGTCACTGCCGCGCCCGCTTGTTTTCAGGTTGAGGATGTTGTCAATGGTGAATTTGAGAGAGGCGCTGGGACGACATGGTGCGTCCACTTTACTCATATTCTCCAATGCGTAAACAGCCCCTTTGTTTACTTCTCCTCTTGAATAAACGCGAGCAGTCACCGCTAAATTGTCGACGGTGCACACACCATAGCAGCATCCACGAAGCACACACTGCTTGGCTGGAGAGGCTCCGTGTGTAATCTCAGCGCTCACGTCACGTTGGATGGGGCGAACTAAGTCCTCGCTGATTGGTCCAGTCGTCAAGCAGTGTTGACCAATCACAGTGAAGGGACGAGAACCTCTCTCTCTACCCAAAGTACATCTTCTCCATCAAAACCTGCTGTTCGCCAACACGTCATTTCACACTGTGGTGCACATTTGCACAAATACTTAATTGACCTTCCACCTTAGACGTTGACCAGACGGTTACATAAGTTGTTTTGAACCTCCCCATTTTTAAAATTGTCTACAGGTTTCACTGGGGGGAAAGTGTATGCATTTGCATGCGCTCTGCGCGATCGCGTATCGGCATAACTCTTCAAAATAAGAAGCCTAAAAACGAATACTCTCTCACACTTTTGCCCCTGTCTTGCAGCTAAATACGGTGACCAAAATATTAGAAACACGCACTCGTGTATCTTTACAAATAGGCCGAGTGTATGCAAAACACAGGAATAAGCATGACAATTAAATTCATATCTCTCTGGTGGTGTGAATCAAAACAGCATTATTATCCTTGAAAAATCAAACCTTTGATATTTTATCGCATTTGGTTGTGCAAGTGTGCATATTGTGTCCGGTGTTGTTGATTTCGAAAAATGAGACTTCATTCACGTGACGCTCTTTAATTAAACTTTTTATTTAGATTGATCAAATATTGTGTGATGATTTCAAATAATATTTTGATGGATAACAATAAGCCAGCATTCATCGGACTCTTTTTGCTAATAATCTTGATTTATTTGCTCACAAAAGTCTATTTTTCTTTTTTTATACAACTCCAGGTCTATAATACACTCGCTGCAGTTTTACGTTTAATCTCAATGTCGAATAATCATAATCTCAAACTGTAATGCATTTTTATCGACTACACTTTGAGCCTAATTCATAACGATCAGAACTGCAGACGCTTTTAAAAAAAGAATGTAGTAGGCTAAAGAGCCCACTGGCGTTTGGGTGTTATTTACCTGTTGATATTTTTTGTTAAATTTAATCCTGCAGTCAAAAACGATTGAAAAACAACGAATCTGACTTGTAACATTAAAAAAACCCGTACAGAATAGTGTTGACGTTTTGGCGTTACCAAATCTTTGCTATTTACTTTATTTTAATAAATTGGGTATATTTTAATCACTGACCATACACAGAAAAAAGAATCAGTATTTTTATCCATTTATTGAGTGGAAAAAATGATGATTTTGAAAATGTGTGTGCGTCCGTGCGTGCGTGTGCGTGTGTGTGCGTGTGTGTGTGTGTGTGTGTGTGTGTGTGTGTGTG